GATACAAAACACAAAGATGTAGATGGATAGTGCTTGGCTTCAAATAAAGGTTATTCGAATCTATAAATAGTAAAGATAATGACAGTTCTTCTATTGCGTAATGTAAGTATTTTATTAAGTACACTCGGTGGAAGAAACTCACCGAACACTTTACTAACTTAGCAATTACTATATGTGATAGTCAATTTTTGATATCTTCTTAACCTACACTAATTTTCTGAATGCGTAGTAACATATTTTTTATTGATTTCTTATAAATATCCTTAGAAATTGTCTTGCATTTCTTTTCAATTCTGCGAAAATATTTCTTGTATTCAAACCGAATTTTTTCTCACAATGTTCTAATATATTTCATAAATGCTGATTTGGTATTGTGGAGGCCATTTTGATGCATTTGATCTCTTTCTGAGAGATCTTGGTTTTATATGAACAACACATTGCTTTTTTGAAAAAACTGGATATGTGTTTAAATTCATGGTAATAAAATTATCACCAGACTTTAAAAGTTGTTGACAATTAATTGCCAACATTCCTATCTCACCGTTATTCATTTTATGGTGACTTTCAATTAGTTAGCAACAAAATTAATTGCCAACTTGGAATCAACATCATAAAATTGATCAGTTATTTTGGAATGCAATATTTTGACATCCAGTAGTCCGATGCATGCGATTTTTATGCCATTTGATTCATCGATCAAGTTGGATCGAATGATAATAAAATCACACGTTTGGAACACTGGATGCCAAATATTGAGTCCCGAAATAACCGATCAATTTTGATGCAAAAAAGATGGTGATCGTCAAAAAATTAATTCCTTTCATTTTGGCAATGATTCAATTCACGTGATTTTACCACTATTTGATTCGTCCAGTCAAAGATGGTTGAAACAAAATGAAACCAAATTTCGTCAAGCTCCCAATTCCATTCCCGCTATATATTCGGGTGTGCGTGTATTAGTTTACGCATTTTTGGCGAAAGATGTCAAGCTTAAAGATGTGATAACTCTTTCAGCACAATCCCTGGATGGCCCGATTAAACTTGATGTTAAAGTAGATCCAGTAACTCTTCAGGTATCGAAAATACATACCTTGGCTGCTCAGAAATTAATTCAGGATTTGGAAGAAGGAATTTCATATCTGCATGTGGATTCTAATAGAAAAGATAAAGTTTTTGATGTACTTGTCAAAGAATAAATTATTAATTTAGGTAAAATCGTTAAATACTTTTATTCTCTTATATGAAACATACTTATTGAAATAAATTTCAGGTATTACTTTCAGCCTTGCATCAAGACATATTAGGTATTTCTTTTTAACTAAAGTCCTTTTGATTTTCATACACGTATGTTTTAAATTAATATTTTATTAACATTTAGTTTTCTAGCAATTAATGAGAAAGTTAATTCAGAAATTACCAGTAATGAGACTCTTAAGCAAAAAGAATAGTTCCGGGATAACTAAGAATAGGGGGTGGGCTACTTCTTCGGTTAGCTATATGGCTAGAAGATCTATAGCTGTGAGAACTAGTGCTATATCTCGATCTAGTAGTTGTAAAAATGAATCAAATATTGGAATAAGTTTAAAAAATATACATAAAATAGATTTAAAAAGAGTTTAACAGGCAAATTTTCTGCTGGATGATTTCAAAGATAAATATCAATAGATAATCTTTGCAAATGATAGTTTATTTCATTTTAGAAATGTTTAATTAGATTAAGATCAAGTGATTAAACTGGCCAATCAACTAAATAAATATTATTATTATCAAGTTATTTTTAGAAAAATTTTATTATCATCATCTTGTTAAAATATAATATTAGTTTTATTATATTATCAGATTATTTCTAAAAGATTATTATTTAAGATTTTATAATATAATTTCTTATCTATATAATTATAAATATATAATATAATTGATATTAAAGAATTTAAAGCAATTCCAAACTATTATATTTTTATCTCCGAATTTTACTTCAGATATTATATAATACATTTTTAAAGATTCATTATAATATTTTCAGTAATATTTAAATTCATTAAATTAAAAATTAAAAATTTTAATTTGTCAAATCAGATAATATTATTCCAGTTACTAATTATCTAGTATTAATTTTTTTGTGAAATTTAAATATTGAACCTGATATATTTATCTTCAGAATTTAGCTTTTTTAAATAAATATTATAATAAAATAAATATTATTTAAATTAAACATGTTATACATGTACCAAGTTGTGTAACTTGTTGCGGTAAACATGTTTCGAGATTTAAGGCGAACGTTTATTCAACTAGATAATAAACCTTTCCATCTCCAATTAAAGTAATAATTAAACTTTTCTGAATTTAGAATTTCCAAATTCATAGAGAATGAATTTAGTTAAGACTTCATTCTTTCTAGAAAAGGATCTATTTAGATAAACACAAGATTCTAACCAATTTATTACACTTTCAAATTCATATTCACCAGCATCCTTCAAATTTTTAGCTGAAGCATGCCTATCAAATGTTGTCTTCAAGGAAAGGAAGTCAATGTCAAGCTTTATTATACCAATGTTATGCTAAGGAGTTGCATGATAGAACACATATTCTGATCTTAATAATATATGCTATATAAAAAACTCAAGAAACTGGCACAGTAGATCATGTAGGAGGAAATTGTCGTCCAAAAAAATTATCGCAATATTTCAAGTGCGTTTGTTCAATATATTTATAACAATTTCTTTCATTACAACGAGAGTCTTGACGACATAACTATCAAAAATAAATTTATATAACTATATAAGGCATTTAACTAACTGATATCTGATATTTGAGTTTTCTAAAAACTGCACCCATGCTCACAGTTAAAACGTATAGAATGATCATGTTGAAAAATAAATAGTAGAAAAAGATAGTATTTGAATTAAATTCAAGGTATTGCTTATAACCAGAAATAAAAATGATTCAAAATCAAAGGATATTGCTTATAACTGAAATTGCTTATAACCGGTGGAATAAGATACTTTTATTCTATTATTTCTAATTTTGTCGTCTGTTGTATCTCTGATACTTCGTTGCTGTTTCATTACTTCAACGCTTTTACTGTATCATAAGGATTCTTGAAGTACTTGATCAAAAGAAACATTTGCAATATAATTGAAATCTTGGTTTTCATGATAAGTTATATATCCTTTTTAAAAGAATGATATTTATTGATATTCATTACTTTGCGGTAATTTCTCTTTGTATG